TCAAGAAAAACACAGAATTTGTCCCGGCCCGGCCCGACGGGACAAAAAAAAAATAGAACCGGGACCGAACATCGGCCCTACGGTTCTGGTTCAACGAACCGGCCCTTAGGAGGCCGGTTCTGGCCGGGCCGGGGCCGGTTCGCGGGTCGGGCCATGGGCCGGTTCGTCCCGTGGCCATGTCTAGCTGTGGGCTTTCGTCGCAAATTTGATGTGGTGGGTTGTCAAATTGCTGGGGGATCAAGGACATCCAATTTGGGTCTACGTACTGCTTTCATGGCAAGCAAACAAACCGCGCGCCAGACGCAGGAAGTGGCGGTTGCCGGGGAAGGAACGTAGACGCAGTTGGGGCACACGCGGGGCGCCCCGCTCTCGATCACCTCAATCGTTTGTCGGTGACAGTGACTTTAACGTCACCATATTCGAAATACGTCCTTTTGGTAATATGGCGGCACGGGACGAGGACTACTTCGCCGGCAATAGGCGATGGGAGGCTTCTTTCCAGTTGAGATCTCAAGATTCTCCTAGATGACAAGAAATCGACTGAATATGAAGGTCCGTCTCTTTTTTTATGACGAGAGGTCGACCGAATATGAAGGCCCGCCTTTTTTTTATGGCGAGAGATTGACAGCAAATGAGGGTCCACCTTTCTTTCATGATGACGGTTCGACCGAATATGAGAATTTGCTTCTTTTGACGAGTAAATTGACTACAAGGAAGCTACTACTATTGAGCATTTTGCTAACAATTTCAACGATACGGATTGAATGTCCAAGTACAAAATATATATTGGGAATACACAACCCCATATGTTCTTGTGATGGAATATGTTCCTGCTATCAAAATTAAAAGAATTAATGCTCTAGATCAGTTGGATGTTGATTGGAAGAGGTTGGGCACAAATGCTGTAGAGACGAGATTGTGTCGGATTCAAGGGCGAATCCTTTTCGAGGGGGGGGGAGGGATGATGGAGATGAGGACAAGCATGATCTTTAGGATCTTCCATTAATTATTTATTTCTTTTATTTATTATTAGTATTTTAGTCCTATATTTGTTAGCAAAGTTATTTAATTGTTCTAGTGTTCTATATGGTAGGAAATATATTTAATTATCTTTTACTTATTAGATGAGATTAGAGCTTTTTAGGAGTTCTACTTAAAGACACTTATTCTCTTATGTTTCAAGGGGATGAACTTGATTAATAAAGATATTTGAGAGTCTTTCTCTTGTTTTATCATTTTCCTTACGCTTTCGCTACGTCATTTGGCCTTAGACTTGAATCTTAGATCTTCGACCTTTGTCCTTGCATTTGGACTGTGGATTTGAACTAGTAGCAACCTAGGATGGTCTTCAGGTGGAGTAAGTGGTGTGTTTAACTCCAGAAGATTACATATTTAACATCTTACCATTTTAATGCGCATTACATCTGATTTTTTTTTTTGGTACAGACACCTGACGGTTTTCGGATCCACAGGGGAATCGACTAATCCGGAATCGAGCCGGGTAGGACCACAAGGGCGGCAAAGCTCTCCCTCAAGAGTTTTAACACTGCTGCATTCCCAGGGTTCGAACACGAGACCACTGGTTAAGCTGGAAGAGTTTTGATCATTGCATCCTTCATAAACCTTAAGACTAAGATATCATACCTTAAAATTATACTTGGTTCTCAAATCTAATATAATTCGTTGGAGTTATAAAATCCGGTGCGCTATCTCATGTGGATAATTATCTTCTCGTTTAAGTCCCCAGATTATAAATACTACAATCACCTGCATTCTCATTTAACTGAAGACGTTCGAATGAAAAGCAAATGTTTTGAGGAATTCGATTGACAAAAGAAAAATGACTGAAATTAACCAAAATTCAACATTATATATATCGCGTCTACTGGTAACTAGAAATAAGTGATGATAGGTTTTCCCTTGGCCGATAGAGATGAATGCACGCATACGCAAACTTGTCCACCCAAGATCGGAACATCATCACAATAAGACCTTAGCAGTTTCGACCCATACGCAGCTTTACATGTTTTCTCGCACGAAGCTGGGTCGCATTTGATTATGATCGGCACAGCAGCATTTACCGTTGAGATTATTTTCGGCTTAAAAACGTAGTGCATAAAGAACACGATGAGAAGCAAGCTTCGCCCTGACATTCTTATTTTCTTTATATATTTCGGTAGGAATGATTTTAAAGGGCCGGGAAACGAGTGTATGTTCGGTTGACAATATTCGGCTGACATATTTATAGGGGTTTATTGATGGCTTGTTTTGGACATTGTAGTTTGTACATACTAATGGAAATTCTTTATTTACATAAAATGTAATATGATACTGCTGACTGATATAATATAATTATTATATATATAATAAGATATTATTGCATATATAATATTTAAATAGTTTACTTATTTCGGTTATCATGATAAATTATATTATTTTAAAGTGTACATATAAAGTTTCATGATTTCCGATTACAATATCTGTTAATAATAAAATAAGTCATTTGTTGTTAGTTATATAATGAGTATATCACATTTTGTAATTATGATCATCGTTACATAAATGAGCACTATCCAAAATGGAACATGTAAAAAATTTACATATTTTTATTAAGTGGTGAGCATATTTGTATTAAATGAATACCTATTTTTATTAAATGAACTAATATTATTATTAATTATTGGCTGAATAAAATTTATTGAAGTTGACCAATAATTACATATATACATATATATATATATATATATATATATAGATTTGCAACAATCTATGTTGTGGATATTTTATTTTTCTTGTCACAAAATAACTGATACATCTCCTTTTTAAAGTCACATACTTGCTACTTGAATTGATGTTTACACCCAATATTGTAGCATAAATTTTTAAAGTATTATAAATTAGATAATGGTATTGAATTTTAAACGTAAAATATTATAAGTTTTATTTATGCATACAATATTAAAATTATAAGTTAGATAATGATATTATGTTTTAAAATTTGATCATTGGTTAAAATAAACAATAAGTAACTATTTGATTGCATATGAAGCACTATATTGATTGCATAATATGTAATTTTGTAATATATTTAATTTTGAGAGATTATGACTGATTACTTTGGTAAAAATATTAAATTTATTATAACAATTACTTTTGTAATGTTAAGGAATTTTACTATGACATTAAAACAACTTAATTTATTTAGGAAACACTCGCTTAATCATATAAAAAATATAATATTGATTTTAGAATAAATACCTTGAATAGAAAGTTTTACTATATAAATTTTTGTTTATGGAACTTTCAAATATCATTTAGTGTTTATAATTATTAATTCTAATAATAATTATTATATGATACAATAAAAAAAATATAATTATTACTCAATTAATATAAAATGTAACAGATATAGTTTTGGAAAGTTACGTATCACGTAGGTAAATTTTATGAGGTTTTATTTAACACATTGCTAGCAACTATATATTTAAATAGGATCAAATGAGAATAAGAGATAATGAAATAAATGAGAATAAATCTGAACTTCGATTTTTGAGCTTGGTAGTGTTCTTTCTTGTGTATCCGTCTTCAATTTGCTCGATCAGTTGGTGGCGTTTCCTAATCTGGTTGGTAATTGGAGAGGACTTTTAGTTTATGGCTAGTTTGTTTTTACTAATTTATTTTTGTTTTTTAGTTTTTTTTTAGTTCTTTTACTATTTTGTGGTTGTTACTTGTTAGTCTCCCAAGAATCCTTGGTTAAAAGAAAATTAAAATAAACAGAGGGTCTGTGTTTTAGCCTCAAGGGAATATTAGCATGTTGGAAAAAATATAGTAAATTTGAATTGGAGGCGAAAAATTAAAGGCACAGTGAAAATGTCACAAATCCATCAATACACGTTTGTGTTTAGGCAGTAAACATAGGATTTCTTTCATTTCTGCCAAAAAAACGGATGAACGAATTACCGTTGGGTGGAAAATGCACATTGCAGCATTCTTTAAGGAAGGACTAAGGAGTAATGTTATATTATTCAAGTAACAAAGTGATGGTATAAAGGCATCGGTTTTACTATGAAGCCAACAGTTTTGCTATAAAGGCATCGGTTTTGCTATAAAGGCAAAACCGATAAACGCATAATGATAGGGTAGCAAATACTAAAAATGGTAATAAGAACCGGGCTTCATCATATCATGAGCTTTTTCGGTTTCAAGCAAAACAACAGCTTGATCTCAAAAGCCTATGCAGGCCAACCAACCACACCCTCACCGTTAGGGAATTGAGTCCCTAAAGGTGGACAGTTGGGGCTTTCTGCCTATAACCTGGTGGGATGAAAGTGTGCCCTATAGAAACAAACAAATGTGCGGAGAATCACGAATAAATGAGCAGAGATCAAATAGATACGAAGGGTGCAATTTCATATATAACTCAAGAGCACAATGCCCCAGAACATACACCAATCCAATTTAAGCCCCCACAACCCTATAAAAGCTTGCAAATGGGGTCAACAGTTTGAACAGTGTTACCGTGCTAAAATGTGTAAAAATGGGATTCAACTGTGAAGCATCCATACATTCTGAAACGATAAGATAATAGGATAGTATGATGGTATTCATGTAAAACAATAACAAATATGGAAAAACACAAGAAAAAATGAAACTGAAAGGGGAGAAAGCACGAGAATCAAACATAACATGAATACATAGAAAAAGATTATGGGAATTGAACAAACTTGGGTAGGTTACTATAGCCAGTACCAAGCATTATCGAAACTTAAACAAGCTGAGTATGGAAACAGTTAAAATTTTGAGCACGCAATACATTTGCAAGTAAGATTTTGTATGTGTGGCAGAGGGGATACACCACCCTAAGTAAGCACACGCATAAATTACTCGTAAAAGAAAGAAACGAAAAGGAAGAAGTTATTAGATTTAATTTAGTAGAAGTTTAAAGGCAGACAAAATTGGTCACAAGTAGAAAAGTTTATATTGTACCCACCTGCAACCACTCATCTAAGCTCCTTGTGTTCAATTCTGGAGATATAGTCCTCCTCTATGTGTCGGGTGAGCAATGAAATGCCATAATGAGATGCACTTGAAGCAGCAAAATAGGATGTCACCGTGAGTTGAGCGAACTTTGGAAGTGCATAACCTGTACATTAAAAAATCAACAGTTCATTTAAAAGCGAGAAAAACAAATCCTTCCATTATAAAAAGATGCGCTATAGAAGCTCAAATTAGCAATTGTAGATTTTCAGCTAATGCATGTTTAACCATTTGTATTAGGCAGTAAGCATTGGCATCTTCTTTAATTAATATACTTAAGGCGATTCTTGTTTTATGAAATGAATAAAGCTCAAGTTTTTAAATGAACAAATGCAGATGATGCATACCTCCAAAAGCAGCACTAGCAGCAGAAAACATAAGCAGGGGAGGAAGCTGCCAAATTCAAATGAAAACGGAATTGAGATATGTAGTGAAAAAATAAATAAATAAATAAATAAATGAACAAAAAATAAAAGCAAAAGAAAAGTCATCGAGCCGAAGAAGGTTGTGTTCACACCCCAATGACAAATGGAAGCCACTTTGGCCCTTTCACATTCTTTTGGAAATATGGAATTCCTGCAAGGACGTGCACAAATTTAGACATGAACTGAGAAATAAAATTGGACAAACATGGTAAGGAGTCCTTTGAGGTACCTGTATTGAACCCATGAACTGCACTAAGCATCCCACCAATCCCGGATCCAGCCTAATCAATACATCAGAAAATAATCAAACGAGAAAAAGAATGATGTTTTTTTATAGTTTTAAGCATCCACATATAAGATATTAAAATTCACCCCTATTCAGAACACTTGGAAAAAGGAGAAAGTTAGAATTAAGAGAATACAACATTTAAAAGTTAAACAACCTAAATAAATGACTGAATTGAGAAATTCATCAAAAAGGCAACCAAGACAGGTTAAATAGAGCTCAGCATGTTAAACAGAGCACAGCATGTTAAAGCTGCAATTATGCATGATTTTAAACCGATCCAGCTTTCTAATATGACCAAAGTAAAACGTAGATGTTGTACTGATCGTGATTCAATTATTGAACAAGACAAACTGATAAGATATTTATGCAGTCACTACAAAACTACCCTTATCCACCTGTTAGAGCTTTAATATAGTTTTCGAGCATCATTTTGTTATCAACATAGTGCTCCAAAACGTTTTCCACCAATACCAAGTTTGGGATGATAATTATTTGGATATGCACTCAGGATTCACATCATAATCTAAAGAGAAGAGGGAAATAAATGTGAAACCATCCGCATACAAAACTCAGAAAGCATAAATATTATATATGGTTGCATAATGATCTCCAACATAGAATCACGATTCCACTGAAAAATTGCTCTTGAAAACTGAAGGGTACAAGTTCTTGAGTCGGAGTGGCTTCACCCATTTCCTTAGTTGTTTCAGCAGATGTTCATAATCCAAAGTATCAACCAACTATAAGTATTCAATGTTTCGACTTACCATAAAAATTCTCCGAAACCAATTACACAAACTGAATTCAAACCCAAACATTCCTTTTTAAAAATGCAAATCATGTAGGGTCAATACAATTCATTAAAATAAACAGGCAAAAAGGGAAGAGCTAATTAAAACAACTGAGAGAATATAACACAATTACAAAAGCCCTTCGCAGGATAATATTTTACAGGAGTCCGTTACTTGCCACCTAAATTTATCACTATCAAAGAACGGACCTAACACCATTAAAAAACCATTGAACTCAAATGCTTAAACACACATACCACAGACATGGCATCGTGTAAAACCGGGGCAACTTTCCATTCCGAACTTTCCTGTTCACAAAATTTAACACAAAAATGAAGTAACGTATACATCAATTCAGTTGGCCAAACAAACATCACACAGACAGCTAACACACGTAATAATATATCACAGACATGCACAGATGCATACTTTGTTTGGGTTCAACAGAGAAAGACAACGGGGGCATCGCGCCGAGCCGAGGCCCGGTTTCAGGGTTGGATCATGGTGCAGGTTCCCTCTTCGAAGCTTCTCTTCGTAGACTTCTCGAGTCCCCATTTCTCCACACTTGATGCTATTTCAATCAGCAAAATTGCCAGCTCATTAGGTGTTTTATAATAATCTAGGGGGCCTTTGGCTGTGCTGTAACCCAAAAGTACATGAATGTTCATATTGAAATATAGGGAAAATATAGAGTGAAAGCTTATAGAATCTGTGTGTAATATAACATTAAGCAAAATAACATGTGAAGCAATTGCTGCAAAACTACACACACACTTTTCACCGAAATCAATATTTAAAACTACCAACACAATTCAAGAAACAATAGGTTTTACGCGGTACAAGTTTCATAGAGTTGCGGTAGTCCCAAGGCTGGGTACGGGTAGCCGCCGTTGTTAAGGCCGTTACCTACTTTTCCGGCACCGTCTCATGAGATGATTTAGGTATTTGGGATCTACACGGACTAAAAAACAATTTAGCAACAGATTCATAGAGTATTACCGGCAGAGGACGGTGGTCTACAGCAGTCGGTGGCCGGTTGTCCGGAGGAAGAAAATGAAAATAAAAGAGAGCAGAACGAGTGATTTGCCTATTAAGAACCGAGGACAGCGGCGGTCTCACAAAACCAAATGCAATGTAGGGCCACATTTTTGGCCGCATTATAAAATAAGTTGGACTCCTTGTCCTCCATTTCAGATTAGTTTTGATAGATAATTGGACTTCTAGTACAATAAAAAAATAAAAATAAAAATAAAAATTGTTAAATATAATAGTTCGATTTTTGTGCATATTAGTTGTGTACGGGCACAACGCATAGTAGATTAGAATTGCAAATAACTTGTTGTTGCATGAATTCTATTATTCCGAGTATTATGGTCTATATGTATGTGTTTATGTTCATATATGTGTTTTTAAAGTCTCAAACATGTCGAGAATTTTTGTTCTATTTTTTCATTTTTTGTGAATAATTGTCATAATTTTAGATGCACGACGGGACGTCGTATAGTTTACTGTTTTATTATATCATGATGTACGGCTCATACGTGGGTCGTAGAATCGAGAATATTTAAATTTTTATTTCATTTTCGACGACCGGCGATCCTTGACACGGCGGTCCTATCGCTCGGAGACCGTCAATGGGCAGTGTGCGACACCGCATGCACATGCGCATGGCGATCGCACGCACTCCTTGTCCACGACTGCAGTCGGTGGGGTTGTTAGAGCATGCCGATGGGGGCATTCCGTCCCCCCGAATCATTATCGAATACAAACACATACATACATGATTTGAATTATCCTAAACATGCTCCTATAGAATGGTCAAAGGATAACCTTATCATCGGAGGCGTTGATTCGTCAAGGCAATCTACTAGTTTGTATTTCGACCCACGTCATGACGCCATATGGACAACGATCCTCCAAGTCATGCTAAGAGCGGGTTGCTTCACGTCTTGTCATACCCCTAGAGCCAGAGTTGTTCACGTTGTTCACGTTACCTGGTGGTAGCTGACGCTTGTCTCACTCTTCTTGGGGTTGGAATTTATTGAAGCCCCTCTATTTATAGAGGTCCTTGGGCCATATTTGGGATATCCTAGTAGGTATAGAGTTTGGACTCCCTATAAGCCCAAATTCTTATGTTTAGCCCATAATACAATTTAACCCATAAATATTAATTCACTAAACTAGAGAACTAATATTGCACTCTCGTCTTATCCTGAAATAAATCAGGACTTCTATTAGACTCAATATAACTCTTCGTTTTTAGAATTTAGCACGTCCATTAATTATTAAAGCTTCTGATTAATATCTTTTATTCTTTAAATAGCATCACTCAACCTTATTATCGTACTTATTATCGTACGGATTAAATCAACGTTTGATACGATAATCCTTATGAGTTCTTGAAGTACCAAAATGGAGCCCCATTGGAGGGCACTAGTTTGTGAAACAAAGTACAAACTTCAAGTGGCAATTAACAATTCTAAAATATGAGTAAACTTTTTAGTTAGAATTGTATTGTGACTTGATATGACTAAATTAATAATTTTATCCCACAGATATATTTTTGGTATGTTTGAAGTTATTTACCATTTATAAATTCTTAGTAGTTTTATCAGTTCACTCTCCATGTGTACAACATTAGATCAACCATAGAAAGGTACAAAAAAGCAACTGCAGATAGTTCAAATGTCTACACAACTCAAGAAATCAATGCTCAAGTAAGCTATACATGATGTGTAATTGATTGTACATTTTGCAATGACTCATGTGCATGTCTTAGAAAATTATGTTTTATTGCTAGAAAAAAACAAGCTGTAAAATCCTAATAAATATTTTCTGAGCTACTCAGATTCTAAGAACTAAGATGTGAAAGATAAATTATCACAGCAATGTAAATACAAAAGTTATATTGTTTTTTTATTTTTATTTTTTTTTTAATTTATGGACTGAATGCAGTTTTACCAAGAGTCCAAGAAGCTACATCAGCAAATACAAATGCTCCAAAACTCAAACACGTAACCACTTAAACTTCATAATAACTTATAGGAGACCACATTTTGTATGCATTTGGTAGGTTTGTGTGTTTTATTTCAAAACAATTTAAAACAAGCAAAGTTGAAATTTGTTTGAACTTTTAAGATAATAATTTTTTAAGCTTGGTTAGTTAAAACATAAACAATAGAAGTCATATGATGTAATAAAAACTTAACTCATGCACATAAAAAGGGAAAAAATGTTGGATTATGAAAAGATCACTAATCACATATACTGAACACTCTTTTCACATCCAATAGGCATCTTATGGGTGACGGGCTAAGCTCTCTAAATGTCAAAGAACTGAAGCAGGTCGAAAGCCGCCTCGAGAGAGGCATCACAAGAATCAGGGGCAAGAAGGTAATAAACACCATGGCCGAACAAATTTCCAGTTAATTTTCCTTCGACTTACTCTAATAACTCACCGTGCCATCGCTTTTTTTTTCCTTTTTTTTTCTATTGGACAGCATGAAATGATACTTACTGAGACTTTTTAAGTTAGATCTTATAAAGAATTTCAATATTGTATTGTAACTTGATATTTTTGGTGGTGTTTGATATTAATTATCATCTATATAAATTCTAAGTATTTTTATCAGTTCACTCTGTATGTGTACAGCATTAGATCAACCATATAAAGGTAGAAAAAAGCAACTGCAGATAGTTCAAGTGTCTACACAAACACAACTCAAGAAATCAATGCTCAGGTAAACTATACATGATGTCTGTTTGATTGTACATTTTTGCAATTTCTCATGTATCATAAGAAACTGTAATATGGTCAAAAAGCTAAACAACAAAATCCAATTAAATATTTTCTGAGCTACTCATCAGATTTGATCATTTTTCACACCAATGTAAATACAAGTGATAATACTTTTTTTATTCAAAATTTTTCACAGAAATGGACTAATTGCATGATACATATTAGAAAATCTAGAGCTCAATACATTAATATAATCTTTAAAATTCATAGACTCATCTTGTTACCTCTGGACCAAGACAACAAAAATATAAGATACAAGAAATTACATAGACGGACAACTAAAAAGTACAGATTCACCAAAATCATGCATGAATTAAAAGAAAAAAGAGGGGGAGAGAAAAAACTATGACTCGCGGCCATGGACTCATTGAGCAGTGTAATTATGAGAGACCTCAGGAGGTGAAAATTGAAAAAAGATTGTAAGGCAGTATACGTCTTACCAAAGAACGGCAAGCGGCGGTCGGCGGACAACGGCGGGCGGTCGACGGATGACGGCAGGCGGTCGCTCGAAGGAGGTCACTCGGGCTCGCGGTCAAAAAATTGTGGATGGCCCGAAGAAGGTGCGGGGACGATGAGAAGGCCGTGAAGGTGCGCCGGGCTTGTCGACAGAGGGCCGTGAAGATGCGAGGACGATGAGAAGCTGCGTGACGGTACGGTGGAGGGTTTTACAGAAATCAGTTTTGAGAAAGATTGATAAAAGAGATCGATTTGGCAGGCTTTAAAATTTATTTTTTGGACATCACTTTTGGGCCAACTTTACATAAATAAAACTGATGCATATCACTTTTTTGGGCCACCTTTACATAGGTTTTTTTTGGGCCGATGCATCTTATATAAACCGTACATCGGTTGTGTTGAAACGGATGCCTATGCACGGGCTCATACATCGATTTTCCTAAACTGATGTTGTATATTATATTTTTTACATCGGTTATACATAGAACAGATGTAAACAATGTTGCCTACCAAATTGTTCACATCAGTTTTGTAAGAACCGATGCGCCGGATGACAATTTACATTGGCTTTTTAAAAACCGATGTCACACCTGATGTGAAAATTATTTTATGCATGGGTTTTGAAAAAACTAATGTGAACACCCGATGTGAAAAGTGTTTTTTTCTACTAGTGTCGTCAATCTGGATTACCAAGACACGATGCCCTAGTGCCAACAAATAGGAATCATGTAGATAATGGCATTACCCGAGCTACAGGATATATTGAACCAAACCTGGTTCTCACAATTACGGTTAAGAATTGGTAGTCACCGAGACTTTAGTTATGTTGGATTTTATTAAGAACATCGACCAATGTGCACATCTGAATAAAAAAAATCATAGCGCAACATAATCTATATCTAAGGGTAGGAACTTGCGGTTTAAAATTTAGTCGACTCTAAAGAAACTTTACAGCCTACGGGGCTGGACGAATGGTTTTGAGATGTTCTTCACACAAAACTTTTCGTCGCCTTGTCTTTTCGTGTACGCCAAACATCATCGAGTCGTTGTCGTGGATCGTAGGGTCGCATCGCGTGGATCGCCGAGCCTTTGATGTTGGTTGCCTAGTTTGGCCATGTGACTCACTAGGGATCGCCTGCTGCATGCGCTATCGTCTGGGCTCATCGGGCCGCACGCTAAATGTCATCGAATACGCTACCGCATGCGGTCGTCCGCGGTGGTCGAGGTGTTAGGTTCTACGAAGAATATCGGTCTAAGTGCACATCCAAATCCAATCAAATTAAATCCTAACCCAACGAAA